GCGTTCACTTCAATGTAATTGTAATTTAAAGCTTCAATTTGTTTCTCTCTCTCTCTATCTGTACCCATTTGGCGTTGTCTGTTGCGTCCAAGTCACAGCAACCTCTTGATTTGCCTTTCGGTCTGGTTAGTTAATTATCTGATGAAATTCCTGAAATTCTGCTAAGTAGAGGACTAGTCCTGAAATTCCAAGAGTTTTGCAGAGGTTCACAGAAAAATTATCTGATGAAAATCTGCAGAACTTGACAGAAGTTGTTGAAGAGTTCATGGTGAGGATGATGGAAACAATATGTTGAAGAACTAGGTGGGGATGGGATAGAATCAATCCGTAGGGACTTGTATATGTCTTGACTTTGTTGTGAAGAATCATTGTACACAAATTTATTGTAAAGAAAATTAATGTAATTTCTTGAAAATTATTGAACTGACTATAATATATTCATTAATATGAGTTTGCAAATTAGGGGATGAAGTGTGTGCTTGAAGTACTAGTTACTCTTATAATTGCTATCTATTAGTTAATAATAAGGTCAAACATGAACAAGTCTGTCTCAACAAGCATCAATGCATCATGTGATAAATTATTTATGAAGCTGATAATCCAATCCTACTCAATTTTATTAAATTATTATGAACCAAAAAGTCATACAAAGTCTGCTCATGTCACCCTTTGCGTGTAAGAATTTTCTATGAGCCCATGGAATCTTATAATTACGTAGATAAGGCGGTCCACGGCGGTGGGAGTGGTGCCAAGGAGCTTTAGTGTTGGGATGGGGAGGATTGATGAAGAGAGGCCTTGTGAGTTTGGGGATAACAATTACTACGGTGTTAATGTTAGGAAGGAGTTGTTGGTGTATCCTAGAAGCAGAAGTTATGCTGTCACAAAAGTGCTGTTGCCTTTTGATCCTTTTCTTCTCTCTGCCATTTTTCCTTTTGCCCTTTTCTCAATTTAATTTTTTTTGTTTAAAAAAAAAACTCAGAATTTTAACATTTCAAATTCTGAGTATTTTTTTAAATATATATATATATATATATATTTTGGGGGAACATTCCAAATTCTGAGTATTTTTTTAAATACATATATATATATATTTTTGGGGGAATGTAGGATATAAATATGGGGGGATTGAATAAATCTTCTTTTCTTTACCTGATTGTTTGTTTGTTTTATATGTCTATGAAAGCTGGTTGTTGTTAATACAAGTGAAGTGGGGTCCTAGCTCCACCATATCTGTTGTATTCTTGCTTAGGATTTCAATGTTGGTTTTCTGAATTCAATACATGTACCTAGGTTGCTTATATTTCAATTTTGCAACTGTAGGGATCTCATTGAAGCTAGGGATTCTGAATACAAGGCATGGGCTCATGTTCAGACCTTGAAGTCCTCTCTTGATGAGCAAACTCTGGAATTGCAGGTTAAAATATCAATTGGAGCTGAGGCCATCTCTCATGTTCAATTATTTTATGGTACAGTTTGATATGTCAATTGTTTCATCTATATTACCCTTTTGGTACTAACTTAAGTTCATATGGATGCAGAGCATTGGCATTCTTTAGTTCATTTTATATGGGTGCTACACATGATTGCAATCCTTTATTTTTATTTTGGTTTTTTTTTTGTTCTCTCCAGCATGATATATATATATATATATATAAGAAACCTGAAGACATTTTTTTATCTATGCTATTTCGGGGAAAAGTGCGGGCTTCTAGATATCTTGAAATCCAAACATAAGGAAAATGAAGCCTACATATCTGAATTAGAGGTTAGGTTTCTGCTCTGTTATATGGGAGAGCATTTTGTCTTCAATGTGTTTGTGAAGTAGGCCAGAGGTTATTGGTATTGTTTCTCTTCATGTAATTTTAAATAAGGCTTGAGATTATCAATTTCACTTTTGTCTTCATTATCTTTGAGGCAAAGTATAACTGGGATCAACCTTTTAATAAATATTTCACTAGATTAGGGCATAACTGCCCTAAAAATTTAATAAATATTTCATATACTTTACATATGATTTAATTGTGTAAATTCCTAAAAGAATCATAACAGAACATGTCAACTTTTTTAAAGCAAAAGTAAGTATGGGGGACATTGGTAAGTGTAAATTCAGGCTTCATCTGTATAACATTGAACTACCACTACAAGTAGTTTAAATTCCTAAACTTTTGAAGCTTCAACAAGCCAAAAGTAGTTTCATATGCAAGTTTATCTACCACCAAACTTGTTGGAAATTGGGTCGGGTTTAAAATCCATTCCTGATTGGATCGCTCATGGTAGCATGACCTAAGACCCATAAAGAGAGACCTAGTCGAAGTACGCTTGCGTGATTAACCCACTATCTCATCGCTTGACGAGATACAGTTATGGGTGTTATAACTCTCCCACATAATATACGTATTATATTTGAAAGCATAAGAATTTAATGTGTTTTCTCTCTCCTAGACTCTTGTTTCTCTTTCCATAAAAACACATAATAGCCCTTTGTACTGTGACGAGTGTGCGTAGTTCTAATAATTTTACTCCATTGCTAAGAATTATTTAAGAATATCAATGAAAACACATAATAGCCCTTTGTACTGTGACGAGTGTGGATAGTTCTAATAGTTCAACTCCATTGCTAAGAATTATTTAAAAATATCAATAGAAACACGTATGATCTATGGATTTGGTTTGAATGAAAAGGTATATCAAATCCATTTATTTCTGAGGCATAATATTTCTTATTTTTCCTACAAAATCAAAGCACAAAGGAGCAAAATGAGAGACAAAATAACTCGCAAGTTCAGAAGTCAAATGATTTTTGTCGTCTTGCACATTTAGGTCTAGTTGCAGCTTATTTCCGGTAACTATGCAAGCTTGGCGCACTTTGATACAAGCACCTGCAACTTGAGCCTTTAATTTGTTATACTGAGATTGTTGAGTCTTGGGATCAAATTCCCTAGCTTTCGGGAGTAAACTCTTCCCCAACTTGATCTCTTGAATTTCCTTCCTCAACTTCATCTCCCAAAATGTTTTCCGATCCTCACTCAAATCTGGACGCATAAGCTCGAAATTCGATTTCTTCAGAGCCTCGTTTTGCTTCTCCAGTTCCGAAATCTGATTCGCCAGCCCAATCTCTTCTTGCGATATCTCCATTTGTTTTTCAGCGTTGGTCCTGCTGCTCAGGTTAGGGTTGTAGTGTAGACGTTAGCGTTGGTCCTGCTGCTCAGGTTAGGGTTGTAGTGTAGTGCAGTGAAGCGAGTAAGCTATCTGTCCTGTCTCTACGACTAGGAGATTTATATCTGAAAAACAAATGGAGATATCGCAAGAAGAGATTGGGCTGGCAAATCAGATTTCGGAACTGGAGAAGCAAAACGAGGCTATGAAGAAATCGAATTTCGAATTTATGCGTCCAGATTTGAGTGAGGATCGGAAAACATTTTGGGAGATGAAGTTGAGGAAGGAAATTCAAAAGATCAAGTTGGGGAAGACTTTACTCCCAGAAGCTAGGGAATTTGATCCCGTGACTTTGCAATCTCAGTACAACAAATTAGAGGCTCAAGTTGCAGGCACTCGTATCAGAGTGCGCCAGGCTTGCATAGTTACTGGAAATAAGCTGCAACTAGACCTAAATGTGCAAGACGACAAAAATCATTTGACTTCTGAGCTTGTGAGTTATTTTGTCTCTCATTTTGCTCTTTTGTGCTTCGGTTTTGTAGGAAAAATATGAAATATTATGCCTCAGAAATAAATGGACATGATATACCTTTTCATTCAAACCAAATCCATAGATCATACGTGTTTCTATTGATATTTTTGAATAATTCTTAGCAATGGGGTAGATCTATTAGAACTATCCACACTCGTCGCTGTACAAAGCGTTATTATGTGTTTTTATTGATATTTTTAAATAATTCATAGCAATGGTGTAAAACTATTAGAATTACTCACACTCGTCACAGTACAAAGGGCTATTATGTGTTTTTATGGAGAGGGAAAGAAGAGAGTTTAGGAGAGAGAGAAAACATATTAAATTCTTATTCTTCCAAATATAATATGTATATTATGTGGGAGAGTCATAACTCTATCTCGTCAAGCGATGAGATAGTGGGTTAATCCAAGCGTACTTTGACTAGGTCTCTCCTTATGGGTCTTAGGTCATGCTACCATAAGCGATCCAATTAGGATTGGATTTTAAAATTCCTAAACTTTTGAAGCTTCAACAAGCCAAAAGTAGTTTCATATGCAAGTTTATCTACCACCAAACTTGTTGGAAATTGGGTCGGGTTTAAAATCCATTCCTGATTGGATCGCTCATGGTAGCATGACCTAAGACCCATAAGGAGAGACCTAGTCAAAGTACGCTTGGATTAACCCACTATCTCATCGCTTGACGAGATAGAGTTATGGGTGTTATAACTCTCCCACATAATATACGTATTATATTTGGAAGAATAAGAATTTAATATGTTTTCTCTCTCCTAGACTCTCTTCTTTCCCTCTCCATAAAAACACATAATAACCCTTTGTACTGTGACAAGTGTGAGTAATTCTAATAGTTTCTCCATTGCTAAGAATTATTTACAAATATCGATAAAAACACATAATAGCCCTTTGTACTGTGACGAGTGTGAGTAATTCTAATAGTTTTACTCCATTGCTAAGAATTATTTAAAAATATCAATAAAAACACATAATAGCCCTTTGTACTGTGACGAGTGTGAGTAATTCTAATAGTTTTACTCCATTGCTAAGAATTATTTAAAAATATCAATAAAAACACATAATAGCCCTTTGTACTGTGACGAGTGTGGCATAATATTTCTTATTTTTCCTACAAAACCAAAGCACAAAGGAGCAAAATGAGAGACAAAATAACTCGCAAGTTCAGAAGTCAAATGATTTTTGTCGTCTTGCACATTTAGGTCTAGTTGCAGCTTATTTCCGGTAACTATGCAAGCCTGGGGCACTTTGATACGAGCACCTGCAAGTTGAGCATCTAATTTGTTATACTGAGATTGCTGAGTCTTGGGATCAAATTCCCTAGCTTTCGGGAGTAAACTCTTCCCCAACTTGATCTCTTGAATTTCCTTCCTCAACTTCATCTCCCAAAATGTTTTCCGATCCTCACTCAAATCTGGACGCAGAAGTTCGAAATTCGATTTCTTCACAGCCTCGTTTTGCTTCTCCAGTTCCAAAATCTGATTCGCCAGCCCAATCTCTTCTTGCGATGTCTCCATTTTCTTTTCAGATATAAATCTCCTAGTCGTAGAGACAAGACAGATAGCTTACTCGCTTCACTACACTAATGGCCTATGTCAGCGTTGGTCCTGCTGCTCAGGTTAGGGTTGTAGTGTAGTGCAGTGAAGTGAGTAAGCTATCTGTCTTGTCTCTACGACTAGGAGATTTATATCTGAAAAACAAATGGAGATATCGCAAGAAGAGATTGGGCTGGCAAATCAGATTTCGAAACTGGAGAAGCAAAACGAGGCTATGAAGAAATCGAATTTCGAATTTATGCGTCCAGATTTGAGTGAGGATTGGAAAACATTTTGGGAGATGAAGTTGAGGAAGGAAATTCAAGAGATCAAGTTGGGGAAGAGTTTACTCCCAGAAGCTAGGGAATTTGATCCCGAGACTCTGCAATCTGAGTACAACAAATTAGAGGCTCAAGTTGCAGGCACTCGTATCGGAGTGCGCCAGGCTTGCATAGTTACTGGAAATAAGCTGCAACTAGACCTAAATGTGCAAGACGACAAAAATCATTTGACTTCTGAGCTTGTGAGTTATTTTGTGTCTAATTTTGCTCTTTTGTGCTTCGGTTTTGTAGGAAAAATAAGAAATATTATGCCTCAGAAGTAAATGGATTTGATATACCTTTTCATTCAAACCAAATCCATAGATCATACGTGTTTCTATTGATATTTTTGAATAATTCTTAGCAATGGGGTAGATCTATTAGAACTATCCACACTGGTCGCTGTACAAAGGGCTATTATGTGTTTTTATTGATATTTTTAAATAATTCTTAGCAATGGAGTAAAACTATTAGAATTACTCACACTCGTCACAGTACAAAGGGGGCTATTATGTGTTTTTATGGAGAGAGAAAAAAGAGAGTCTAAGAGAGAGAGAAAACATATTAAATTCTTATTCTTCCGAATATAATACATATATTATGTGGGAGAGTTATAACTCTATCTCGTCAAGCGATGAGATAGTGGGTTAATCCAAGCGTACTTTGACTAGGTCTCTCCTTATGGGTCTTAGGTCATGCTACCATGAGCGATCCAATCAGGAATGGATTTTAAAATTCCTAAACTTTTGAAGCTTCAACAAGCCAAAAGTAGTTTCATATGCAAGTTTATCTACCACCAAACTTGTTGGAAATTGGGTCGGGTTTAAAATCCATTCCTGATTGGATCGCTCATGGTA